GAAAGAAAAAAAAATAAACACTACATTAGAAGCGTTCAATTTGACTCCATTCTACCAATAAGCCAAAGTTTTCGGCTTGAAGAAATTGTGAGTGATTCAATATTCCATTATCTGCTAACAAAAAGAGAGTATAAACATCAACAAATTCTTATGTGTATGCATAGATTCCACCCAAAAATAGATTCCACCCAAAAAATAGATTCCACCCAAAAATATTTTTTTACTCTAGCAAGCAAACATAGATTCCACCCAAAAAAGCAAAGATTGCTCAGCATATCTATATAATAAACCAACATATTTTAATCCCAAATAGGCTTATATTCAAAACTTCCATAGTAATAAAATAGACTTCTGACCACTTACTACTAAAAATTTAAGATAGGCCTGTGTGTTTGTGTACAATGTGTGTGTGTGCTGGATAGAAAAATTGAAAGTAAGCTTCTTATTACCCAACCAAAAAGACATTCCATTAATAAATAGATTACTAAACGTTGTGTTATAGATTTTACCATATGACTGGACAAATTAAGTGCAAACCAGGGCAGTCATAATCAAGAGAAATAAGTAACTTCAATAAGCATCAAACATCAACTTGCAGGCCAAAAAAAATTAGGATATGTACATACAACATCAGTTCTCTGAAGAGCACGGCCAAATATGTACTTATGTATTCTCTAAATATGTATTCTCATCATTGTGTTTGTGGGAAAATAATAATGAATTAGATCAAATGCAACTTATCAAATAGCTAACAGAGTTTGAGAGGGACAACTTATCAAATAGCTAGCATGAGTCTACCATACACATACCCAAACCCACCTTCAATAGATCAGTTGAGTAAATATTTAAGTCAAACAAATCCAAATCAAATATATCCATCTCAGTACAGAAATATCACTAACACATACATGTACTTAAATGTGTGCTACTCCTAACAAACTAATAACTTCGAATACAATAAATACGAATAGAATCTACAACACAGAGAAGAAAACACACAAAAACCCAAAAATATCAAATCAATTATAAAAAATAGAACTTCATGCTATAGATGTATGATCTATTAAAGTACAACCGAGTTCAACAAAAAAAAGTCCATCAACTGGTTACCAAACTATGGCAATAGTAATAACGCCAGTCAGCTAATTAGGCAACATTAAACCCAAGAATTAAGAAAGAGAAGATCATAAATTAGGCAGGTTGAAACTGAATACATTTTTGCAATTGATCGAGTAAATAAGCAAACATTTTTAATGGAATTACGCAGTTGAAATACATCAGTTCAGGGAAAAAAAAAAACTGTTCAGGAAAAAAAAACTGTTCAGGCAAAAAAACTGAACAGATGAAAAAAACTGTTCAGGAAAAAAAAAAAAAGATCATCAAAAGAATCGCAAAATCTCACAAAAGATTAACCCATTTCCAACCCGAATCAGTTGAGATTATTCATTCCAAAAAATATTTAAATCTACATAAGGAAAGAATCTACACTGGGCTGAGCTTGGTAGAAGCAACTCGAATTTATTCATTCCAAAAAATATTTAACTCGAATCTACATAAGGAAAGAATCTACACTGGGCTGAGCTCGGTAGAAGCAACTCGAATTTATTCATTCCAAATTACTCTCTGTCTTAGTCTCAGGCAGGGAAACACCCGAAAAGCTCAATAACTTTTTGCCTTTCACTCTCCCTTTGCCTCAATCACAGTATTACTCTCTCTCTCTCTCTGCGTTTTATGTGTGTGTGTTTCCTTTCCCTCTCGCGCGCATCAGCGCCTAGCCCCAATTTTGTGTCGCCGTCCATGCGGGTTTCTAAATTTGGTTTTGCTTACTAATAAGATAGGACTCATTTTGAATCTTTTTCTACTTTAAAATTTAATTTATTTGGAAAAGCATAAGAACGGCTCAGATTAAATCCACTTTTAATTCAAAGGCCCACATTTTCATCTCATTTCTTCCATTTCAATCCAATGGCTTGCAATGCATTTCAACCCAAAAAAAAAATCCCGCCCATTTTGAACCCAAACACACGCCACCCCCAATTAAACCCTCTGCCCCTCTCTCTCTCTCTCCAATCTGCCATGGAACTAATAGCACAGCCCAGGTATACCCCCTTCTCTCCCTCTCTCTCTTTCACGACCCACAGCACAGAACATAATGATGTGTTCAAGCATCATTATGTTCTGTGCCATTTTTTTTACTTTGCCTATAATGGTTTTCATCATAATGATGCTTGAACACAGCACATAACATAAAATTAAATTAAGCTCATGATAGAAAGGTACACATCCCATTTGCTCAATGTCCTTACACATCCATCAAATGTCCTTACGCATATAAATATAGAAATTGTATGTTTCAAGGTAAAAGTTAAGCCAAGAAGAAATGTGCCTAAACAGGTTAGTTTATCTAGTACATCTTGCAAAAAGTACCTAATCATTTTTTTCTTTTGTTTTGGTACATCCAAATAAGTTATTCTGAAGAAAGTATTAAAAAGAAAATTAATATTCAATTTTGAGATGGATTTAAAAATGTCAAGAAGTATAAAACCTGAATAATTTCTCTAAGAAAACCCACCAAGAAGGAAAAAACACTGCACTGTTGCTATAATTTCATGATTCCTGTTTCCCCTTTCCATTACAGAGAATTCAGCAAGTCTCACAATTGAATATAGAAATTGTAAGAAATTGTAAGAAATTCAGCAAGTCTCACATCCATCAAATGGCCTAAAACTTTCCTCATTTCACAAACAAAGGACCATATAAAAATAGCTTCCATAAAGCAAGAACTTTCCTCATTTCACAAAAAAAAATTGCGTAACTATAACTATAAAAAAAAATTGAAAACACCCAAATTAACCCAAAAGTTAAAAAAGACAAATTAAACATACCCAAATTAACCTAAATTCAAAAACCCAAACACATTTTTTTTCCACCCTTTGTTACTCCTTACCCCCTCTCTCTCTCTCTCTCTCTTACGCTCCAGCCACACCACCGCCACTTCGTCAGCAACACCACCGCCACTGCTAACCCCTCCCAAGTATGCATTGTCTCTCTCTCTTTCTCACACACACGCACAAGCACACACTAACCCCCATCCTACCCCCATATCTTCTCTGCCCTCTTCTACTCAACATCGCCTAACACTTCTCTCGCTCACACACAATCACATTGCACACGCACACCCACAGCGCACAATACACACATACATACTCACCACCCACACACAAATCGCACACACACAAACAAACCCAGCACACACACCCAACACAGACCCAGTATACACGCACCCACATCACACACACTCACACCCACTCACCCACTCACCCAGAAACAAACACCCACACCCACTCACCCACTCACCCACACACACATCACAAACAGACCCACCCACACCAATTGTTTGTTGGAATGACCGAGAGAAATTTTGTGTACTCTGCCATTGTTAATTTCCTGTGTACCTATTTTTTTTGGGTATAATGTGTTGAATTTTAATTGATTAGTTCACTAAATTTTAATTGATTTACACTTTGTTTGATTTAGCTTATAATGTGTTGAATTAGCTTATATTCAATCTAATGTGTTGAATATTTGGTTGGGACCCCTGAGTTTTGTTTCCTTCTGAGGTCAAGGTCTTTCCTATACTGGATGCCTCTTTTCTCCTTTCTAGAAAATGCAAAAACTCAATTCGGTTTCTGTAGCTTTCTGCAATCAAAATGGTTATTGATGGGGACTAAATATTGATTTCCAATCTAAGAATTTTGCACGCTATCTTTTAGCAGAAATGATCATTTTCGACTTCAGCTAGAGAGAGAGGTGGGTATGTTTAATTTGCTGTGGGTCGTGAAAGAGGGAGAGGGAGAGAGAGATAGAGAGAGAGGTGGGTATACCTGGGCAGGCCACTTCAGGTCGTGAAAGGGGGAGAGGGAGGTACCTGGGCTGAGCTTGGTGAGCCGCTGTGTTGAACGCCGTTGGTGTCGCTGCTGTGTGCCGCTGCTGAGCCGGTGCCGCTGCTGAGCCGTTGTGAGAAGGGTGTGGGTAGAGGGGTAAGGGGTCTGGGTTGCTGTCTGGGGTGAGGCATGGCAGAGGAAATGGGTATGTAGGGAAATGGGTGAGGCATGGCGGGAGACAGAGAGTAGCTGTAGGGGTGGGTTTGATTTGGGTGTGTAGGGGAATGGGTTTGATTTGAGGCAGAGTAACTGTAGGCGTGTGTTTGGGTTCAAAATGGGCGGGATTTTTTTTGGGTTGAGATGCATTGCAAGCCATTGGATTGAAATGGAAGAAATGAGATGAAAATGTGGGCCTTTGAATTAAAAGTGGATTTAATCTGAGCCGTTCTTATGCTTTTCCAAATAAATTAAATTTTAAAGTAGAAAAAGATTCAAAATGAGTCCTATCTTATTAGTAAAGATTTCGGACATATTTTATTCAATATCATATTATAGTCGGAAGAGCTCAAAAAAACCAATAAACTCAAATCCGATCATCACCTATTTTGAACATATTTTAACTAACATGATACTACAATCAATATGTGCCCTCTATCATAATTGATTGAACGATATCAGTTCAATTTTATAAGGATAGTATTCAAATGATGCTGGAAGTGAATAATACATAGTCAAATTCGTATCAATTCGTTTATTGAACGGATTTGGCTAATCAATTCGTTCTATTTGTGAAAGACTAAATTCATAACCATTACCTAGTAATTTTTTTTGTCTATTTCATATGAGTAACAGCTGGGTTTCATTAGACAACATTACACTAAAGCAGCCAAGTGTGCACAAAATGCAATACAGAATGCCCACACTAGCACACTTGCTGGTATCAGGCCACACTTGCCTCCTTACACCACAACCTGACTATTGTCCCACCTCCAAGTGAATTGAAGATGGATTGCTTTGCTCATTTTTCCAAAGTAGCTTTAGAGAAAAAACTCTCTAATTGTTGTAACTGAAGTTGATTTCATAATGTAAATTTCTACCTTAACCAACTGTATCTTTCCATGTCATGCCTTCATTAATTTTCAGTAACCGGTAAGTCTTGCCCTTGAAGACAAGTACAACACAATATCATCATCTATCACTTATATCTGCGACTTGAACAATGATTAAAAGTTTGAATCCAAAAGGGTTGGGGCAAAACCAAATGGTCCCTTTTACATCGCAAAGTATGAAAACTTGATACATTCGAAGGTAGAAAGAGCATAAACATTAAATATCTGCATTATCTACAATATTAGTATGCAAATCAACAAACAATTGAAAGCAGCACATTGTTGTGTTGAGCACAAAAATTGTACCATTTCTATTGCTTGAATGTAGTATAATATTGTAAACCCAGTACTGCAGTGTCATCATCCCCAATAATATGATAAGACAGTAACTGATTAGGTCAAGCCACCGATTGCTACAACTGCATCAGTTCCAGAAACGCATTTGTCTTCAAGAAGTGGAATAGTCTTCCAAACCGTCAATTTGATTGGAGCCTTGTATTTGCCTACAAGTAATGCAAATACGATTTTCAGCATTAGTGTCTTAGTATAGCGATACTTCCTACTTGCTAGAAAGATACATATTCTCACCAGGGGTACCATCCATTTCCGTGCAAATGGCAGCATAATGAGAACCTGCCAATTCCAAGAGTGCAAACTGCCAATTGCTTGTAAGGATGGTAGAGTCATCAAAAGACTCGACAACTATTTCAGAGGCCTGAAAGTATAACCAGGATATTAGAAGGAAGGAATTTACTTGATATTGGTCGGCATATTAAGAGAAGAATTTCAAGAAGCTAAAACATACAAAAGGAAGCATGTACTAAAACCAATTTTAAGCATTGTATGTTTAGTGCTAAACACTTTATGTCAATGAAGCAATATAACTCATTCCCACTGTGTGCTGTCATGTGCCGGAATAATGGAGCTCATCTCCTCAGTGCTCGCAAGTCTTCACTTCTATCGTGGCAATGACAAGTCAGGCATACCTACCTGGACCTGAACAGACCAGTTGCCCGATCCACCTAATAGTCACTGGCATAAGCATAAAAAAGTGCCTACTGATTGGATTCTTTGAAACCTCATGACATGGCTACTTGAAACAAGTACATTACAGATCACAAGTTGTAGAAACTACATCAGAAAGATAGCAGATCACAAGTTGTAGGAGATTAGGTATTTCATAATCCAATTCCAGTTAAAGGAGGTTTTGTGGCATACCATAAATTTTAGATTACCAGACGGATGCAAGTTCCCTGTCTTGGTAGCCCTAAACTGAATAGCAAAGGTCTTGAAAGGGGCACCTGAGAAGCCTCTTCCCAGTGCTTTGACGTATGCTTCCTGGAACCGATTTATCTTTCAGAAAGAAGGCTTTGAGAAACATATAAGAAAGATACGAGGCTTTCCCGACAAATTTATAGAGTTTCATTTTAGTAAATTAAACCTGAAAAATTATGCATTGCAGGCTGTTCTTTTGTTTTTTTCCAGTAAGTAGCCAGCTTATGTTTAAATTAGTTGAAAGTAGATATGCACAATTTAAGATGGATTCAGAATGCAAGTTTCGAACCACAAAGTCAGCCTCCCATCTGAGGCTTTCATGGCTTTTTTAGCAGATTCTTTCACAGCAAATACGTTCCAAGTAATGGCACATTTTTTTTTCAGATCAAACTCTGCATTGACAACTATAAACTGCATGCCTTTTAGCCAAGAAAATTTTTAATCAGAGCAGGCATCAATTATCCAAGAACTTGAGCTGACCTTAAGGGTCCATAATTTTATGAACTCCTGGCGCTGAACCTCCAGGTCTGAAATAGCAGTTAAGAGTTCCACTTCATAGCAAGAGAAATATCGCCGGGCAAAAGCCAAGATATTGTTCTTTGTTTTCCGTTGCTTTTCTTCCACATCAATACCAATCTATAGTCAGAAAGTTGAACAAGATTAGTTTACCTCAAGGAATAACAGCCAAAATATACAAGTCAATTTAGGTACCACATTAGCTGAAATTTTATGTCGCCAACGTAAGTAATCAGAGTACTAACTTGAGAATCCAGGGTCACTCCACAGGCTATCAATGAAGAAGTGTGTGACAAATTGAAATGCAATGGTGGTGGGTTCCAATCATCACTGTGCTGCCAGTCTACCTATAAATGTATTCCACTATAGTGGTTTTAAGGTATACAACTCCAAAAAATATAAAAGTAAAACCAAGAAATTTCATGAGCAAACAGATCGAAAGTCCACTAACATCTCAGAGTGTAATACACAAACTAACCTCAGGCTTTCCATGGATGTTTTTCCTAAACTTCAAGGATCTGGGATTAACTTCAGGATTTGTCTGATCTAGGAAGAAACAACATTATTTAAGCTATCTCATTACATATTTCAGAAATGCCTCAAACATAGTATTTGCAATTATATTTCAGAAATGTCTCAAATACAGTATTTCCAATTACATTGGCGCTTTAAACTCAATATTCTATCCCTTGGCTGGAACCGTTGTCTTTCTCAGAACAACCAGATTTGCTATGCGAGTGTAATAACTCAGAATGAATATTAACTGCAAGCTTTTTTGATGTCAAGAGGGAGCTTATTTTTTGGATCAAAATTAATAACTAACAAAATAAAGCAAAAATTCCGATGAAATGATTATCAAAAAAAAAAAATTTCATACATCTTGCAATGGTAGTGCGAACCAAAGCACGTGCAAGCAGAGCTCGTTTCCTCAGCTCCTCTCCACGCATGCTAAAAACATATTCTTTCTCACATGGTGATAGAAATTCTAAATATTGATCTATCAGGGGTTTTCTCTTCACTTCATTGGGTAAAAGATACCATAAATGGGTTTCCCTACAATTAAAAGAAAACTTTTTTCAGTACATTTAAAGATCAAAACAATATGCCATAAAAGCACTATGCAGGCAGAATATATAAATTATCTATCTAATATTATAACTAAAAGTTAAATTCTCAACTTATAAAAGCAGTTAAATTCACAATAGCGGTCAAGATTGATCAAAATCTCATCAACTTTGATCCAATTGTACAAAATTCATCAAAATAACTTTTTTCACACTCAAAAACATCATTTTCTAGGTCAGACAACTCAACTAACACACTCCCTAATGTTAAACAACTTCATTAATCCACAGCAATCTCTCTCTTTTTTTTTCTATCTGTTCACTTAAATTTTAAATTGGGTAATTAAAAAAAAAAAAAAAAAAAAAATTGTGATCATGTTCGATATTTGGTAATACAGAGTGTCTAACACCGAGCAATTACTAGTATATATATAATAAGTAAAATTTCTGCAACAACATAGAAGCGAAAAGAGGAGCTATCGCATCAATTTTCACAATTTACCATATCGAACATCAATGCAATTAATTGCATATCACCCGAAAATTAGAACAGATTTCATATAAATAAACCACATGATTGACAAATTAGCAATCAGAGAATCCATAAAGGGATCGTACGTTGGAGATGGAAGTTGTACAGGGACCAGAGGGGGTAAAGAACTAAATAACTTCCCATCAAAGCAATGTAACTTCATTCTGAAACTTTCTCTGCGCAAATGTGTCCACATTCGTGCATGCCCTCCACTGTTCTATCTTAACTTCGCTCTCACAAGAAATCCTGTATCAATCCAAGAAACAAAGTCCGCTAAGAATTGATACATTAACGGAAATTTTAGGTAATTACGAATGAAGTGAAATTTGTTTGTTAGGATTTCATACCGTTCAAACGAGAAGGAAAACGAGCAGCTGAGCTCGCTCGCTATGAACACTATGTCTCTGTGGGTGTGTGTGTGAGAGAGAGAGAGAGAGAGGATTGGAGGTACGGTGCCGTTTCGAGAATGAAGAAGAACTGTGGTCTTCCCGTCGGAGTGTTGTTAATGTCGTCGGCTTTACAAGGGAATCAGACTTTGTAGCCAAAAGATTTAGGACATTTCACACTTTGTACCCTTAAACTTTTTAAGAATTTTATTTTTTACCCTTTAAAGTTAAATTTCTCATATTATACCTTAAATATATTAAAAATATTGTAATATGGTCTTCTGTTAGCTTCCGTTATTTTCTGTCAAAATTAAACTCATTGACACTAAAAACAATACTAATGAAAAGTTAAAAGAAATGTCACAATGCTACATTTTTAATATATTAAAGATATAATATAAAAAAGTTAATTTTTGAAAGTACAAAGTGATAATCTTAAAAAATTTAAGGTGCAAAATATAATTCCCAAAATTTAAGAATTTTTATTTTACATTTTTAAATATTAAAATTTGTATATTATAGCATTAATATATTGAAAGTATTATAATATAATCTTTCATTATTTATTCAGTCAAATTCATACCATTAACATTGACAAAATTAACAACAGAAGTTAACGGAACGATGATATTATAATAATTTTAATATATTAAAGATATAATATAAAAAATTTAATATTTAAAATTATAAATAAGAATTTAAAAATTTTGAAATAAAATCTTTAAAAAATTTAATCCATCTATCCTCTAATGGAGTATTGATGCACTGCTCCTTCGTTCAGGTATATTATATTTTTTTTCTTTATAGTCCCTCAAAGTGGATCAAGTGCATATTTATTTTTTTTTCCTTTTTCCTATTTTTCAAAGGATATATGTTGCAACCATCTAGACAATTGTTAATAGATCAAATTCTGACCCGAATTCAAGTCCGATTAATCGAATACGGATTGATAATTTTTATTGATAATCCAAATTCAAATTCAAATTTGATATATTATATTTCGTGAATTCGGATTTGGATATACCTATATATAATCTGATTTGAATTATTTATATATTCTTATATAAATATTAAAGAAACTAAGTGATTATTTAAATAAATTTAATTTAAATTTAGGTATAATTTATTAGTTAATTAAGTTATTTGAATCAAATTAAAATTTGGAATCGGATTTCGAATTATTAACAGATTCAGATCAAATATGGACCATGAAAATAAAATTTGTCAGATTATTAGATCGGATTCAGATCAGACTTTAAAAATCAGATTCAAATTTAAATCAGTCAAAATCCAATCAAAACCCGATCCGGCCTAACCTTTGATAGAAGCTCTTTTTTTTTTTTTGAAGCCAGATATAAGCTCTTTCAAATGCACCCTCCTTGAAAAATCCAAATCTGAGAGTGGCTCCTATGGCTAAGTAGTTGCAAGTCAATTTTAACCTACACAGAGCCACTCTTTACAATTATTTCTTGTAATTGCCGTGACAATCTACTTTGGCTCATTCCCATGGGAGATTAGATTTTGGGTAGTAAATGTTGCTCAAATAGAGTATAGCAGTGATATCATGAACATGTAAATGAGGAACTATCTGATGTTTTCAACTGTTGGCAAGACATAAATCTTTCATGCCTTGCACATTTTGTTCACTCAAAACAACCATTACTCTTTAGAATTGTGTTATCATCGCTACTTTTTGGATTATTTGGAAGGAGCAGAATGAAAGTGCAGATGGAGTATGGGATTGCACTCATTTTTTAGCATCGTTTTGGGCTGTGGTTTCAAAGGAATATGCTTTTTTTTTTTATTTAAACAGGATGAAGAGTTTCATGTGATTTATAGGCTTCTTTACAGAACAGCAACAGCCATTGTATGGTCAGAAACACTGCGCTTAGTTAGACTCAGGAAGCCAACCAGTTAACTGAACTCTTCACACACACCATTAGGAAATGAAAAATGCAAACCACATTCGAGCAGAGTTTCATATCATTAAAAGTTACACAAATGCATTTAAACAAACAAACTTGAGAAACCTCATCCAGAAACATACATTAATGAACCATTCACACCCCAGTTTAGTCCCCGTTAACAAGTTTAGGAGGGGAAGGCTGAGTACCAAAAGAAAAACAAGGCACTGTCATGTTCCACTGGCCAGAAAGTACCTCCACTCAACCCCACTCCAATGCAAAATACAATGCCTTACTGCCAGGCTTCAATAAGTTATGTTCTTGAATTTAAACGACTAGTAATGCTGCAGGTAAGGCTTGGTTTGGTTGGTTGGTAGGTAGTAATGCTGCTGGTTTCCTTGCTCTTTTCTACATGCCCAGCTACACGAACCACAAGATGCTCATGAAGTTTTCTGGATCCTTTCCTGAGATTGATGGTACTTGACTGGCCAGTTTTGATTCTACGAATTCTAAGTTGAGCCCCTCCACTTCCCATGATGGCTCTTCCTTCAAGTCCATCCTTCATTGCATCAACTTCATTTGAAACTTCACCAGCGCAATTATCAACCGGTTTCCCCTTTTCACCAGGAATGATGTTCTCAATAGAAGTGAGAAAACCATGAGTTTCAGTGTCTGTTTTTGAGTGACCATGAGTGGGGTGAGCCGGGCTTTCTGAGAGTGGTTCTTTGGCTACAAACGCCTCCTCGTCTTCCTTCACCTCATCACGCCGTTCAGTTAGTGGTTGCAGAGAGCTATGTTGTCCAATTTCATCCAACGGCTCTAACTGGTATATAGGACCTGGTTCTACTGTGGAGTCTTCTCTTTTTCTTAATGTTTTGACAATAAGAGTCTTGAGAAAATTCATCACTTGGACTGCATACATCAATGCAGTCAAAGGATCCGACATCTGCAATCAGCATAATTGTTTAGGCTTTCATTATACCCTAAGACTGAACAGATAGCATGATGAAAAACAAATCTTAGTGGAAAAGTACTTGAGTTAATTGAAGAACATACCCTTAATTGAAGGAAAGGATTTGTGCCCACAACCAACAAGTGGGTAATTGGGTGCCAGATTGTGATAAAGAGTAACAACTTTAACACAAGCATCTTATCATGAACATTTTGGCATACTTTAAGGGGGGTCTCTCATCATCCTAGTCGTTTTCTTTTCGCCATAATATCACCAATGCTAATGGTGGGTGGGTGCCTTTTAACTTTCTCCCCGGATAAATGAGTCTTTATCCTTTTTTCTCTCAGTCAATTCCATATTCTATTCCATTTCCCAGATGTTAATTTCCTTTTCATTCTCTATGAAAGATGGATAAAAGGAAAAAGGAACTGGGGAATCACTATTAAAGCACAAACCATGCGAGGCCTTCCCCCCCCCCTTCTTTTCACTTGATGCAAAAGAATAGCAGTGTGACTTGTGCATGTTTCTGTGGAAAAGCACAATTTTTCCACTCACCTGAGTCATGTTTGGTGCAAACACCATAGCTACATTGCGTGCATTCATTTTGTTCAGATGTTCAAGTTGAGCAACATCGGCCATCAGGTTAATTGCCCAGTCCAGCAGACCAGTTTCGGTTGGTGGTAGGAGTTGCACAAGCTGAGCACACTCCTCTTCAGATTGGGCCTGCATGACCAGCTCTGGCGAGAGCGAGTCCAACACCCCATTTGGTAGTTCTCTAAACCAAGCCTGCAGAAACACCAACTCTATATTTATGGAAGATGTCGAATAGTTGCTCTTTGAAATTACAGCATGATGGAAAGTTAAAGTCTTTCCACTTTTAGAAGAATACAGGTTCTCTTCATATTTCACTACAGGAGTCGACTCCAAATTCAAGGATTTTTCCATCTCGAAAGCAGCACATATCAATCAAGAGGTACAAATCAGGAACGCATACCTGGACCCATCATTAAATTCAGCTAGCCATATAATTTTCTTTGTCACTAGTTCTAATTCTCTTGAGGTTAGATTTTTATAATTTACCACATAGTGGGACACGCATGTTGTAGTAAAAACACCCAACTTGAGGCCAAGCCAAATTCTAAATTTCATT